GCAAGATTTAAAAGAGAGAGAGGAGGGGAACAAGAAAATTCGATCGAGGAAAAAAAAAATTGAAATGTTCGAGTTTAGATTTATAAAAGTTTTTTGCCAAAGTAGAATATAAGTCTACTCGATATACTTAATATAATATGTACAATAAGCGGAGGTTTTGGTCCAGCAATGATATAACAATTGTAAATTCCGGGAAATTTGTTATTTATGCTAAAAAAAAAAAAAAAGGGTACGTTAAATCGTACTATCTCTTACGGATGCTCAAGGTTCGTTCACATTTCGATGTAGATATATATATGTATATACACACATATATATATATAATTTACTGTATTCTTTCGTTGAATTTGTTTCGTTAATTTTTGTTTCTTACATTTGGACGAGGACCAAACAGAAAAAAAAAAGAAGAAATATTAATAATTACCAGTTTATTGTTTTCGATACGAAAAATTGCGCGGGAAAAATATGATTTTGTTAATGATGAATGTTAATTTTAAGGCGAATCAAATTTTGTACATACTAAATTATTGTCGATCTCAAAGTTTCTCCGGGTTTATACAAAAACACGAAACAATTCAATTGCTTTGGGATCGATCGTACGTGTACTTTTGTTTCTTTTTGTTGTCCGTATATTTGTCGAAGTGGTAAATAACACGAACGTCGTAAAAAAAAAAAAAAAAAAGAAGAATTTGAGATACTGTGTTTTGAGTCGCGTAAGTGTTTAAAGTATGATTGCGGCAGTATATAGTTAACTTTCGATTAGGATTTATATCGCGTGATCGCGGACTGATTCAAGGGGTAAACGTGCGATACGATGTTGATGATAATAATTAACGATAAAGGATGCATTTATATACACCGAAGCAACAATTATTGTGTTCCAATTTTCCGTCGTTGTGTATTTAGACGCTGCTATTCCGTATACGATGGTGAACGTGTGTCTCAACGATACACGGATAGCTTCTCGTTTGATTCCACGTTATCGTTCGATCGATGCTTGATGGGTCGTCTGTGTCACAGCGTTGCATTTCACACTGTGATATTTTTGTTACTTTCCCTAATAACGACATATATAATTGCTTCCCGAATATTTTAAGGAAACAGTGTACCGTGTGTCGACCGCTCAGTTTGTAATTTCCACAGTAACGGAGTGAACGCGAGATTACCATGGAACGAAACATTCCAAATTTCAATCGGACGCGTTTGTTTTTCTGTTTTTCTTTTTAATTATTTCTACCTGATCGATCGATCGATCATTTTTTTCATGCGTATCTTGTAACATGTAATCTCGCTGCTCCGGTCTAGGGAACTCCGTATTATTTCTGTAAATTATCGCTGTACAGTGTATGGAAAGGCATCGTCGTTTCAAGTAAAAGATTCTAAGAAGAAGAAAAATAGTATTATTCTTCTTATTTCTTCATCTTATGATTATTCTCATTATTCTTCATTATTGTTATTATTATCCAAAAGCTTGAATCCACAATTACCTTATTGAGTATACTTACAGTTAGAGAGTATTGTGTGATGTATCTGTCTGTGTGTTATTAAGGTATTCAAAGTAATAAAATGAAACAATTATGCCCGAATTATTATATCGTCAAGCCTATCTTTTCGCGTGTCTCGTCAGACTCCCGACTAAGAAGTAGGATATGTACTATCAAAACTATTCTTATTTATTTAAATAAATATATACAGTTTATTGAACAAATAAATCACATCTTAGTCAATGCATGGTCCAGACAAACACACAATTGCACATCCTTAAAACCTAGAGTCTGTGTTATTTGTATATCGACGTATAATATTCCTCTTCCAGGTCGTATAAATCAGCAGCCATATCGTCCCGTAAAGAAGCCAACTTTTGATCACACTCTGCTTGTTTCGTCCGGAATAATTTACTATTCTGTGCTATGGCATCGTTTACAGACGGAAAATCGTTCAATATCAAATACTGTTTTATATCCGACACGAGCTTCATAAGAGATTCTCCCGCGCGAACTATGTTGGCTGCCCTGACGTGCATTTCATACGTATCTTGTTCACATTGTGTCATCCGAGATAATTGCGAATCACTTTCACCTTTTGCTAGCTTTATAATTTCTACAAAATAATAAAATAACAACTTCAAACAAACGTAACTTGTAATATTTATAGGTTAAGTTTGATACGTCATCGATACTTTGTATTATTGCGTCGTAAAACCAATCGTTCAATTTCGATAACAACGTAATAAAAAGCACTACTGTATTTCATAACGCGAACTCACTTTTTCATTGAAAAACATAGATTTTCACGTGAATACACGCAACGGAAAATGTGAGGTTAGGAAACCGTACCTTCGAAATTCTCCAACATAGACTTCACATCTTCCTTTAACCTGGTCGTGTACGATTTCAATAAAGCCTCCTTACTCTGCGGCAACGCTCTTTGTGCTGCCATAATTCAAACACCAACGATCAACAGTGTTTTTCCCAAAAAACGTGCAACACACAACACGAATACACGAACTGTTTAGACCGCTTCATCGTGAAATCACAACACTGTACCATCAGCTGATGCGATTTTATCGACCGATCAAAGTGATCGCGTGCACCGACCAATTCAAAATCTCTCTTAATCGTTTCAATAAAGAGAAGCGATCGATGATACGCGTTAACCAACACTGGAAATCCCGAAATTCGATCTCGCGACAAGGCCATCGTGTATAAGCGTGAAACATTGAGGTCGAATCGCTTATATATTGATTTTCATGGCAGAAACCTAGAACAGAGCCACCCCCATCCCCACTACGATCCTTCATACGTCAGGATAAAATCAATAGAAAGCTCGTGCGAACGGTGGCTCTTCGGTAAATCCATTTGCACGCGAAATTCGACGGTGTGCCGCGCGAGGAGGAGCGTCAAGGCCCGGTGAAACGCGATGGAGTACGCGTGGACGCAATTTTAACGCGATCGTCGCGCTTCTTTATCCACCGAACATCGTTCGTTGTTGTCATCGAGTTGGGCCACCGTATGTGAAATTCTGAACAAGGGTTGGAAACCCTTTATTTAGTAATTCAGTGATTCTCAGCGATCAAACGCGATGGCTGTGATTCACTCAAGTAAAGTGATATTCTCTATGCTGTGCCGTTGGGGTGTGTCGTAGGCTGTGCGTGTGTGTGAAGGGAATATAGAAAATTTAAGCCAGGTAGATGAATTTACGTACTATACGGAGATGAGATGTTCGCAAACTACCTACAAGCTAAAACAGCACAGGGGACAGAGGAATCGTCCGTTTGCTCCGCCCAATCTCTTCTAAGAAATCTTTTAGAGTTCTCGCTCTTTAAGTCTCACACCCTGTCGCATTTCTTTCGTTACGCGACTGACTTGTAGATACGATCGACTCGGGGCAATAATGGCAATGTGTGTGAGTAAAGGTGCCGCTGTTACGCTACAACCACTTAAGTAGATTAGCGTCTGAGCGGATGATTCCTCTGTCCCCTGTGCTGTTTTAACTTGCTGGTAGTGTGCCAACATCTCATCTTCGCATAGGTCCGTAGGTAGATCGTGTAGCGCGATGATAGAGCTTCTGATAATTTTAATATCGACGGGCGCGATTGTTGGGAGTTCGTCGTCTTCCAACGACGCCGACAATGTGTTGCACATTGGTGGTATATTTCCGATTAATGGTGAGGGTGGATGGCAGGGTGGCCAGGTGAGACGTAACTTATTTTTTCTTCTTTTTTTAATTCGTTAGTACAGTCTAGATTAATTCACGTGTTTAACAGGCTTGCATGCCAGCGGTGAACTTGGCATTAGGCGATGTAAATCGCGAGAAGAATCTGTTACCCGGTTTCATACTAAATCTCCATTCAAATGACAGCGAGGTAGGAAGAAAGTCTACTGAAATTATTTCCACGAAAAACAACGAAGATGTGATAGTAATTTTTTTTTGTGTATCCTTTTAGTGCGAGCCTGGACTCGGTGCCTCGGTGATGTACAATTTATTATACTACAAACCACAGAAATTAATGTTGTTAGCTGGATGTAGTACGGTGTGTACGACTGTCGCCGAGGCGGCGAAGATGTGGAACCTGGTAGTGGTGAGTATCGACGAAGAGTTTTCATTTATAAAAATATCGTACAAAGAAACGTCACTCTTTCATCATTTTTAGCTGTGTTACGGTGCATCGTCACCCGCGTTGTCCGATCGAAATCGGTTCCCGACGCTTTTTAGGACACACCCATCGGCCACGGTGCACAATCCCACGAGAATCAAATTGTTACAGAAGTTCGGCTGGTCTCGGGTGGCGATCTTGCAGCAAGCCGAAGAAGTGTTCATATCTGTGAGATCGAGTCCCTCGTTAATCATACATAAATCCGTTAATTTGAAACAAGAAACAGCTTGTAATTCATAATTTCTCTACTATACGTTGTACAGACTGTAGAAGATTTAGAAGCGCGCTGCAAAGAGGCAGGAATAGAAATAGTGACGCGTCAGAGCTTCCTCTCAGATCCATCGGACGCTGTGAGAAATCTGCGCCGCCAGGATGCAAGGATCATCGTTGGTCTCTTCTACGTAGTAGCCGCGAGAAGAGTTCTCTGCGAACTGTACCATCAGAATCTCTACGGAAAGAGTTACGTGTGGTTCTTTATCGGTTGGTACGAGGACAACTGGTTCGAAGTGAACCTGGAGAAAGAGGGTATCACCTGTACGCGGGATGAGATGAGGCTCGCGGCAGAAGGACACCTAACGACAGAGGCTCTAATGTGGAATCAAAATAACGACACGACAATCAGCGGAATGACTTCGGAGGACTTCAGACTGAGATTGAACAAAATGTTGAAGGAAGACGGTTACGACATCGATAACAATCGATATCCCGAAGGATATCAGGAGGCACCGTTGGCTTACGACGCTGTTTGGTCGGTGGCTTTAGGTAGGAAACATGGGATTGTTCGAAACGTGTATCAGAATCCTTTCACTTCTTTCTCCGTCGTCTTGCAGCGTTCAATAAAACAATGGAGAAGCTGAGCAAACAAGGAAAGAGTCTGAAGAACTTCACGTACACGAACAAGGAGATAGCGGATGAAATTTACTCGGCGATTAATTCCACTCAGTTTCTCGGAGTATCTGTACGTGACCAGCAAGTAGAAATAGAAAAGAAAGGCTTTATTTCGAGTGACCGATCTTTAATCGATCCTATATGTGTGTGTGTGTGTGTGTGTACTATAGGGATACGTTGCATTTAGCTCACAAGGTGACAGAATCGCATTGACCCAAATCGAGCAGGTGATCGATGGAAAGTACGTCAAGTTAGGCTACTACGATACGCAAAGTGACAATCTTACTTGGAGGAATATGGAACGATGGATAGGTGGGAAGATACCGCAAGACAGGACCATTGTCAGAACCGTTTTGAGAACGGTTTCGTTAACCTTGTTCACAGCTATGGGGACTATATCGTCTATCGGGATCTTGATAGCCATTGCACTGATTATTTTCAATATATGGAACAGGCACAGAAGGTATACCCGTCTTTTACACAATTTTTCCCACACCTTTGAACATTTCCAGTAGTATCAACACCGATGTCTATATTTCTTCCAGAGTGATAATGTCGTCGCATCCAGTATGCAATACTATAATGTTAGTAGGAGTGATAGCTTGTTTCGTGTCGGTATTTCTATTAGGTATCGACGGTAGATTCGTCGCACCGTGGGAATATCCAGCGATCTGTCAAGCTAGAGCTTGGATGTTGTCCACGGGTTTCACTCTAGCGTTTGGCGCGATGTTTAGTAAAGTGTGGCGGGTCCACAGGCTTACGACAAAAACGAAGGCTGATCAGGCGAAAGTAAGTGACAAGGGGAACACCGTATATACATATGTAGAGACTAGTTCACTTAAAATTGTTCTAGGTATATATATATACTCACACACCGTAATCACGTACGATCTAATATTTTTCTAGTCTTTCACGCAGTCCCTGCCATGCATGGTTTGCAGATCCTGCTCGTATGACCCTCAACTTTAACGTATTCTCGATTCTTTTTAGTTATTCGTGGCTAAACAAAAAGTTTCGTCCATACAGAAGAAAGTTCAGCCGTGGAAGCTGTATACGATGGTAAGCGGACTGCTGGCGGTGGACATTGTGCAGTTAGTATTGTGGCAAGTGTTGGATCCCTTGCAGAGGAAAATGGAAACTTTCCCTCTAGAGTCGCCTCCGTTTGGCGACGACGACGCGAGGATTAGACCGGAATTAGAGCACTGCGAGAGCATACATAATAGCATTTGGCTTGGTAAATTCAACATAGATAGAGAGACGAGAATGGGATCGTTGACGAATGGAAGATAATTGAAATCTTTTTCTCAGGTTTGATTTACAGCTACAAAGGAATCATTCTAGTGTTCGGATTATTTCTCGCGTACGAAACAAGGAGCATCAAAGTGAAACAGATCAATGATTCTAGATACGTAGGGATGTCGATATACAACGTGGTTGTGCTCTGTTTGATCACAGCTCCGGTAACAATGGTGATCGCTAGCCAACAAGACGCAAGCTTCGCTTTCGTCGCTCTCGCTATTATTTTCTGTTGTTTCTTGAGCATGGCGTTGATCTTCGTGCCTAAAGTGATCGAGGTGATCAGGCATCCGAAGGACAAAGCTGAATCCAAGTACAATCCGGATGTGGGCATGTCGAAAGAGGACGAGGAGAAGTATCAGAAGCTTCTCTGCGAGAACGACGAGCTTCAAAAGCTTATCGCTGCGGTAAGAACATTTCACCGATGTTCGAAGTGTACGATTATCTCGTTTGATTACGTACGAAATCTCGTTTGGTTTGTTACAGAAAGAGGAAAAGATCAAAGTACTGAAGTTGATGTTGGCCGAGCGAGACGCGTTGAAAGGTGGAACCGGAAACGTCCCTAAGGACTCGTTAATAGTCGCAGATTTTGTGACTGGCGAGGGGACTTCCGACAGCGCAATCGGTGGGGGTATTTCTGTTTATACACAATCATCTCGAGCTTCTGCTTCTGAATTTGAGTTTTCAGGATCGTACTTGTAGATGAAAGCACTCCATTCACTGGAGTGCGAGTAATCGTAACGAATTTAACAAACTGGGACCTAAAGGGAAACGTGTAATCGCTTCTTTCTTACCACATCACACGTTTACCTTTATCGAGACGATTTCTTTTTCTTCTCTTTTTTTTTTGTTTTTAGAGGCTGTCGAGTCACGCGATGCACATTTCCTCCTCTCGTTCGTAAATTTCGATCTGTACCGCACACATTTCTATGTCGGACGCTTGTCTCGTAGCTTCGAATAGAACTGAAGAAAGTGAAACGACATATGCGAATAGCTCTGGGAAACGTTAAACCTGGCGAATCGTTAATTCGAGGCAGCTTCGTTTCTATAATACATGTTCATAGCTACGTACGATGTGCTTATGTACTCGGTGTCTTAAACGTATAAATGTTGAATGTACGTATATACCGAAGTCGGGTAAAAAAGGAAAAAAAAAACAATATTTGTGCGCATGCGTAGAGAAGATTATAAGAAGAAGAAAAAAAAATAAGGAAACTATTAATGTGATTACAAGTAGAAAGTTTTTCGATGTAAATGCAAAAAATCCATCAACGCGGGGAGCGGTGTACCGTCATTAATGAATGAAAAGTTGTTGGCCTACGATTGTCGCGCGGCGATACTCTTTACAACGACCTTTTTTTCGTTAGCTCGAGAGTCTACCAGAGAGAGAGAGAGACATGCACAGTTGCAGATGTATTTCCGATTTAGCGAGATTTTATTATTATACGACATTTGTACAGAAAAGAGGTTTTATCGATTATCTAACACGGACCAAAAAACACTTGATAAAATAATTCGTCGTTGAATTTCTAATACTTTATGCAAAAGAAAGAAAACGTGGAATTGTTGCGTTTCATTGTTGCAAACTGTTCACGTGGTGATGTATGGATTTACACGGGTCCAAAAAAAAAAAAAAAAAAAAAAAAAAAAAAAAAAAAAAAAACAAAAAAAAAAAAAAAAAAAAAAAAAAAAAACGGAATCATTGAGAACGAATCACACACGATCTCCACGCGAGGTACAAAAGCACTCCTCAACTATCGAATATTGTGTACGATTTGAACCGTGTATTTACACGCTTAGTCAAAGTGCATAACACACAAACACACACATGTTGAAAGTTTCGTTCTTTGCCTGAGGCCTAAACTTTTTTATATACTATGATCGTTCACGCATGATTTTCAGCAATTGCAGTTAAATCTCGTTAGACAATAACCTGGTCGTTTCCGATAAAAAACAAAAAAAAAAGACAAATCCAACGAATCGATTGTGAACCTCATGAAGTCTGCTCCCAAATTGTACGGAACGTTGCACGGCACGCGAAATTGGCGATGATTGGCATGGATGATGATCACGGGCAACAAGGTACACACACACAGACACGTAAAAAAAGAAAAGAGAGAAGAAGAAAAAAACAGTGAACGTGCTAACGAGATTTAAACGCTTGAAATGTTGCGCCATTCATAAATAATTTGGGAGTCTTGATGAGGTGGATCGACCGAGGAGACCAGTGAACGTTTAATCTTTCAGATGATACGCGGCGGTTCGAAATTCGCTCGAGTGTTCAAGTCGGATTATCAATTATTTATGAATGGACACAAAAAAGAATCACTATTACGCTTATCACGCATCATATCTGAAGGATTATCGTTTTTCAATTCTTCTTTCTAGAAACGGACCAGGTTGGCTGAACGCAAGACAAAAGCCCGAAAGCGTCGCGTCGGTTAGGACGGCAAAAGCAATACGAGCAAATTGTGAACCGAGCTGAAAGCTCAACGACGACAAAGCTCTACGTTTCTCTTTCTCTTCTAAAACTAGCATTAAATGTTACACGCGTAATTCCCCCCCACGGAACTGCATGTTATTGTTTTGTAACCGGTGTAAAAAAAAAAAAGATACCCGGGAGAAATCGTGTTTGTAACGACACCGAGTCAATTTTTGTCGTTGCATCGCCGAACGGATAGCGTACGTTGCCACTCGTAGCGTAAGTTTACAGAAGAGATTATTTTAATTCGGGTGATTCCCAACTTCGGGACACAGTAGCCTCCATCTCTCCTTATTTAAAGAAAAAAAAAAAAGTCATTCAAAAAGTAATATATGGACTTGTTGAAAGATGTTTACAGATAAAAAAATTAAAAAAAAAAGTGTTTATAAATGTTGCGGAATTCAGTTGACGTTTACGACAACTTATACCAAACAGATGTAACGTCTAAAGAATTATTTTAGTGGAACGCCAAAGTTTAACTTTAAAATGTAACGCGAATGGTGAATGTTGATGAAATCGAGAAATGGAGTTCAGGAATTGTTTTACATTATCGGTACGGAGGTGGTAATGTGATTTGACTGCAATTCAGAATTTTATCGGTATACCAGACGACTTATGTGTATAACGTAGATTGGATAAGCCACAAAGCACAAGTTTTTTCGTATGTGCATTTCAATTTCGCCACTCTACGTATACATGATGTTTAGAGAGATTTTACGAACGTTTCCGCTGAATCGTTTCTAAATAGTGTTATCATCGTCGCGCTCATCAACGTATTTTTTACTATACTTCTTCGATCGACTGTCGCGCGTACAGCGTTTGACTAAAATATTATTATACGATATACGATATACATATATACATATAGTCTTATCGAACTGTTACCAGAAAGTATCATATATGTATATGTACGTTAGAATATGGAGATATATTTATTTTTAAGTTTTTAAATTATAAAATTCATTGAAAATTCACATATTGTATCTGTCATTGATAACCCTGCGCTTATCGAGAGTGTTTTCGCTCTCGAATCGATCGATCGATCGTTCGTGGATCTTTGCTGTCTTAGAATTTCACGTTCGCCACGCTTTCTTCTTCACAGTTGAACGTCGAAGAAATCGAGCGAAACGTGTTAAAAAAAAACATTCGTTCAATTAAAAAAACGTTCGTAATTTTACAAAAGAAATTTCTAAACGAATTTCATTCGAGATATTAAATAACGACACGTGTAATACTCTAAAAAAATACGTATATTTAATACATCATAGATCCATAGGGCGATTACGAAAAATATGTAGTACAAATGAAATACAATTGTATTAAAAAAATCAAATAAACTTAGTTATAATTTAAGAGTAGAATTCTGGCGTGCTTTGTAACTATTTGAAATTATGTCACGTGACAGGCGGTCTGCGCAGAAACGCAATTTGCGTTTACTGCACATGTCACGTCGCCATGTTCTTTACACTGTCGTTTATACGAAATCGTAAGGCGCGCGCGGTAAATCGTGATTTCGTCGTACGTCAAATTTGGTTTAATTTGAGAAATGTCATTCGGTACGGGGTTCGGAGTGACAACTTCGACGCCCGCTCCTGCATTCGGCTTTGGTGCCGCTGCCTCTACTACGGCGACGCCGGTGAAACTGGGTAAGTTCCTTATCTTTTAGGTTAAGTCACATTTCTGACTTTCTCCCATCGCATGTGATTTTTTTTTCATTGTATTTTAGATAAACCTGAATTCTGTGTTTACCATTGTCCTCAAATCCATTACATGTTTCGTACTCCTTGAAAAGATTACCTTTACAGATATTTTCACAATGTGTATTTGAAGCATGCTCAAATTTTTCATATGTTTTATCATAATGTCTGCTTGCAATATACTTTATGTTGTACCATATTACTGCACTATATATTATAGCTTTGTAAAGCAGCACTTTGCTTGATAAAGCAACTTTGCTTAATTTCTCAAACAGCTAATACTGGACTTATTTGTACTACTTGAAATTTTGTCTAGCAGCGGCTGGCTCATGCCAGTGCATCCTGGTTCACACTCCATATCACTCTTCTCGAAGAAAGTAGTTTTTCTCTTTGATTTAGCTATAAGACATGCAGTGATGCAGCACAACAACAATATTATCAACAGTGCAGTTAACAAAGCTATTAAAACTGACGAATGATGCGAAGATTCGTTGTTATTTTCAACTGCTTCTGTTGTTGCCATAACAGCATGTGCCAGTGGTGATGTTTCCTGTATTTTGATTATTTGTGCAGGCACATTTGCATTGGTGTCCTCTAAATAATACATTTCACTTGGTATTTTGCCTAATGTTGTTATCATAACTTCTGTTGCAACATCCTTTGTAATAATTAATAAAATATGTTACGATTGAACAATGAAATAACCCACACATGTAATGTAATGCTTGTAAAATATACCCCAATTGCAACATCTGTAGTGCCAAATTCATGTAGCACTTCAGTAACAGTATCAGAAAGTGGAGCAGCATGGCGAAGTACAACCTTCCTACCAGATATTGTGGCTATCTTTAATAATTTACGAGCAAGTTGTCCACTGTTGTCCTCCTGCCAATTTTTTTGTTTATATTTTAGTGTTTTATGCTTGTGTTTTACAAGAAATCTTACCTGATTTTGCTTATTTATATATGACATGATTCAAGACCTTGTTTTCTTATATAATTATATGTAATTTCAAATAAATTTTTATCACATAAAAATAATTATATATTTTCAATATGTTTAAACTGTATCTGACGCGCGTAACTAAAATGCACGCACGAATAAGACGCAAATTATTATCGCGGTCGTGTGCTAGACATTTCTGTCATATAGTAGTTTTTCTACTTGAACCAATTTCAAGTGAGTAAAAACAAAATCTAATTTGTAAATACGAAAATTACGAAACTTCACGCTGTCCGTTTGTTATCACCTAACGCACGCAGTTTTAGTAACACACTTGTTGATATATATTGTATGCATGTTTATATATTGTAAAAGAATAAACAATTAGAAACACCCTTTACTAGTTCTTTCACAAGAACATGGATTTTATTATTAAACATTCCTTCTGTGGGACCTACTGTCAACAGCAGGATTTGGAACACCATCCTTTGGATTTAGTGCACCAGCTACTTCGGCACCAAGTCTCTTTGGTTCTCCTTCAACTCCAGCAACTGGTGGATTTGGAACTAGCACCGGTTTTGGAGCACCAGCTGCCACTGGCTTTGGCAACACATCAACAAGTGGTTTTGGTTCAGCACCAGCATTTGGTGCCACTTCAACCACTGGATTCGGATCCACTCCAGCCTTTGGCAGTACCCCTGCTGCACCAAACACCGGATTTGGAGCAACACCTACCTTTGGAAGCACACCAGCCTCCACAACTGGATTTGGTGGATTTGGAACACCCACAACTACATCTTCTTTAAGCTTTGGTGGTTTCAGTGGATTTGGAACTGCAACAACCACATCTGCACCTTCCTTTTTTGGAGGATTTGGTACCACAAGTACTGCTCCTAGCTTTGGTACATCCACTGGTTTTGTTGCTTTTGGAACAAAACCAACAACCACAACCACAACTACCGGGTTTGGTGGTTTTGCTGGCGGTCAGTTTTCATCCCACCAAGTCTTCTATTCGTCGATATATTTTTTACTAGATTAAACGTTTCTTTGTAGGCACAGGGTTTGCAGGTTTTGGACCTGTATTACCACAGCCCCAACAACCATTTCAACAGCAACAGCAATTACAGCAGCAACAATTACAGCAACAGACTGCTAATACTATATCAGAAGCATTATACAATGCCGTATTCAATTGTCAATTGTACAACGACGAACGCGACAATATTATCGCCAGATGGAATCTCATACAAGCTTTATGGGGAACTGGGAAAGCTTACTATTCCATGAATGCACCAGCTATTGAGCTGAATCAAGAGAATCCATTATGTAGATTTAAAGCTATCGGGTATAGCCGTATGCCCGAAGCTGATAATAACGACGGACTAGTCGTTCTTTGTTTTAATAAAAAGAAAAAAGATGTTAAAGAGGGAGAAGCACAGTTGATCGGTTTTATGAATAATATTTTGGGGAATAAACCTTATTTAACATTGACAATAGATAACATTAAAGAAACCGGGGAAGATAAAAGTCAAGTGACAATTTTCGTCACAGAGAAGGGAATTACCGGAGGTCCAAGAAAGATCCCTGCTAACGAATTGGTTATGTATTTGGCGCAACCAATGCAGAAGCAACAGTTGATCCAAAATGGGGTAGAAGGCGCGTTACCATTAGTCAAGTTAGACCCTGCACGGCTTAAAGAATATTTAGAAAATCCACCTTGTTCCATCGATCCAAGATTGTGGAAACAAGCTCAATTGGATAATCCAAATCCAGAGCTCTATATACCTGTGCCAATGATTGGCTTTCAGCAGGTGAAACATAGATTAAAGTGCCAAGAAGAAGAAACAACGAGACATAGAAATTTCTTAGATATGGCGGCCGAGGAAATACAAAGATTACAGAGGCAACATACCGCGATACAAGCTAGATTAAAAGAACATCGAAGAACCTTGTTGGAACTTCAACATAGGGTACTGCAGGTACGTGTACATTTTTTAGACAATTACTTTTCATCGTATATGTGTTTATATTTATAATTGCACTTTTTTTTTCAAGGTGTTGGTACGTCAGGAAATTACTCGTAAAGTTGGGTTATCCTTGCAACCAGAGGAGGAGGTTTTGACGCGTAGGTTCGAAGGCATGCATTCCCAAATTAGTGTTCCAACACAGTTTAAAGGTAGAATTAGCGAAATGCTTTCTCAATTGAGAATGAGAAATCACGTAGACACTCAAAACCAAGAGAGGTACGCAATGGATCCTATAGCACAGGATGACATAAAAGCGGTACGTAAACGAAACGTTGAAAAATATTTATTTAAAAAATACTGTATTATTTATTTGTTATTTTCCCGTTTCTCTAGTACCTGACAATGGAACAACAAGGCATGGCTCAACTTATAGCAACGATAAATTCAGATCTAGAAAGTTTGAAAGTCATCAAAGATGGCATGTCTGAACTGTTGATAAGTCACAATATATCGTGAGAATTGTATTTAGTAACGTGAAATTGACCGCATATTTTCGCCACAATAACAATAGCGATATGGCTATTATTATCGCCGATAATAAGGTTGCAAGAATTTGAAAGGGAACATGAAATTAACACAAACAGATATATTGCACCTTCGAAAATTGCCACCATATTTATTTTGAATCTACAATAAAACTGCCATCGCTGGTTTTTTTTCTGTTATCGTTTACACGTATATCTGTTTCGAAATCTTATTCGATCGAAAAATAAGATTGCCAATTATGATAACTTTTCACGTGTTGGATACGTAGATAGTGTCAAGAAGGAAACCGTTGCCCGGATGCACGATGTTTGAAAACAAGTTTTTACACGACACGGGACGCGTCGACCATATTATATTCTTTCACCAATGTTATTGAAATGTGTTTATATTTCAGATATCGAAGAAGAGAGAAAAAAAAAGAAAATATAAAAAGAGGAACTTGTTATGTGCTGGGAGAGAAAAAAAAATAAACATTTTTTACATAAATAATGTGCTTTTATTGAATAGTTTTGAATGTTGTTAAACACGCTCTTCTCGTTGCAGAAACGCACGTACTTTCCTCCATACATCGAACTTTTTTGGATATCTTATACATAATATCTTTATATACATATTATACATAGATGTTTAACATAACATACCGGGTCACATTCTTTCAAACACGTTATTATACAGAGGGTTCCTCGACCGTAGTGTGTTATCCGGGGTTTTTCAAGTGAAACATGTACAAACCTATACATGTATTTCGCTCAATTTAATCTGCCTGCTAGGTGTTTTTGTTAAATGTGTGTACCTACAGATTACTTGTGAATCTAAGTTTCTAAAGGAATCTCTCTTCGACATCAACCTGTTTTTCTACTTCAACTGACTTCGGCAGACGTTAACGTACTACAATATATTTGGCTTCACAGTCTAACGAAAACAGACAGCTCTAAACATCAGCCTTGTTCCTCCTCACCGGTAGACAGAATTCATCCCGCGTCTTTTCTTTTTCCATACATTTTTTTAGGGTAACGTTACATCCTCGAACATTCCACGCTCTCTTACCACAATTTCGAAAGCAACGACCGGCCGTGGCCCGGGAAACAAAATTTTACGTAACTTCTCACCGCTCAAGGTCGCCCTGGACCGACAACAGCGATCGATAAAACGTTATCTCCTTAAAACTACTTTTAGACGAATAATAATAGACTTGTGAAAAAAAAAAAAGTATAATAACGAAGAAGGCACTTTAACACCAGGACGGCCTTAAGAGAACGTTTAACACCGGCCGCGGCCGGTAGTTCGAGGTGACACGCCCAACATACAAGCATCCTTGAACTCGCGAAGGAAACGACCAACTCTACCAGCAAGCTAGCTCCAATTTCTCATCCCCTTTTCATCTCTCTTCACTTGTTAATCGTAAGATCCAATGGAAGATCCTGCTCCATTTCCACGCAATTCTCGTTCTTAACTCGAAGATCCTGTCCACAGGTGTTGTTCGTGTCCACGATGTTGCCCCACATGTTCTGCAGTCCGTATTGAAGATCCACCGTGCCCAGCAGGTGTCTGAATAGAGGGTTCTGCGCTTTCAGGATCAGATCCGAGAGGATCTTCGTCTTCTCGAGGATGTTCTCGTTGCTGTGCACGCAACACTTGTGACGACAGCAACAATCGGTAGTATCTTTACAAATCTCTTCTTTAGTAGGTGTCTGCTCGATCTCCATCTTCAAATCCTCCGCTCGTTTTATCACAGAATTTCTCACCGGATCGCAGATCATGGTGTTCTCCTTTTTGCAGGGCGTGCTGTTTATGATCGACTCGATGTTCCTATAGTCAACCGTGCTGACTTTGCTCGGACACTCGATCGGCTCTTCGGTCTTGATGGGCGTCGATTGCATCCCGATACGTGGCAACGAATCGGGAACATGACGAGGGCTGGTTTGAGGCGACGCAACCGGTGGACTCTCCTTGACGATAGGAGCGTTCGAAACGTACATAGGATTCACCTGGATTCTCTCCGGTATTATATAACTATCGTCGTAGATCCTCGGATAGATCTTCACTTCTTGCTCGTACGTCTTTCTCGTAGGTGTAATCTGTTCCGGTTCGTTGCGCTGTTCTTGGAGATTGTACATGTTGTTCCACTCGACGAAGCTCCTCTGTTCCTCGAAACTGTTGCTAGCTTTCGGACTCGATCCAGATATGCTACTCTCGATGCTGCTGTCCTTTTTGTCAGAGGTTTCCGACGGAGTGCTGCTGCTGCTCTGTTTCTCCGGCGTGGTAGCATCGAACCTTGCCTTCTCCTGCGAGTTGCTCTCCTCGAAGCTCTTCTCCTGCACCACCTTGTCGTTGTTGTTCACGTAGTGTCTGTAGGTTTTTACATGTTTGCGTAGAGAGGAGGGATCGGTGTACCTCTTGGGACATCCAGGTACCTTGCAGCAGTACGGTTTGTCCACGGCGTGGGTTCTGGTGTGTTTGAACCTGTCCGAGGAGTTGGAGTAGGCCTTGTTGCAACCTTCGACGGGGCAAACGTAGGGACGTTCGCCTGTGTGGGAACGGGCGTGGATCTTTAGGTTCTCGGCTCTGCTGAAACTCTTGTCGCATTGGAAACAGTGGTGTGGTTTCTCGTTGGTGTGCGTTCGGACATGGACCAGCATCTTATATCTGGAAAACGACGAAGAGAGGAGATTAGATAAGAGTTCGGGTGAATTTGAATATACGCGAAGGAAAGAGAGGAAAGATCGTTTCCTACCTAGCGTTAAATCCACGTTCACCTCTGGCGCATCCCTCCCAGCCGCAGTAAAAAAGTCCACGTGGGCCAGGCGCAGCGTGAAGTCGGGCAACGTGTCCTGCGAGTTGTTCCAAGGACGTGAACCATCGACCGCAGTTCTGCCATCTGCAAATCGAAACGGGACACCGCGTTTAGCCTTTACTCTTCGACGTAATTAGATATTCTCGGTAGGAGGAGTTGGTCGTAACGTTCCTACCGAACCGAGAATTGTTGACAAGGGTATTGATCTTTGATCACTCGATCGTTACTATCAATCGAACCGTTCATAAAGATGACTATCGTTTAAGGCCAATATCTCGCGAATCTCTTCGCTCTCTCCCCGTCAATCGATCTATTTATACTACTTATTTTCCCTATCGCCTGGTTTACCGAGAAATTCTAAATATAAACGACACGCGCGAGACGTACCCGCCTCTTGCATTTTAATCGATCAATCGCCAACTATCCCCATTCCTAATTCACTCGGAAAGATTCTTCGGATCGTCGAGAGGGGAAAAAAAAGTCTCGGATCCGAAAGACGGTAACTGGTTTGTTCTACAGTTTCCAAGGTCACTGGCTAACAGCATACCGTCACGTGGATCAGGATCAACGTACAAATATAGTCGAGGAGAACGTGGCGCGTTCAAGTGAAATATCGGCGCGCGATTTACGTCAAGAAGGTCCGTTCAACCGACCAATTGATACCAATTCCGTTCATTGTGCAATTGGCGTAGCCTAAACCTAACCAGTTTATCTAAACTCATGGTCTTCGGATACCGTTCCAGCGTTTGCGTTTAAATGTTGAGGATCAAGGGGTAACAACGTGCGTTTCTAGTTTGCACCTTCGTCGAATCGTTCAACGCTTCTATCATAAATGTATCAAGGAAGAGTTTCACTTCCTTGTTTTACGACGTTCACGTTCCGTGATCTCGACGGGGCAATCCGAGCAGCTTATCGAAATTCGAGGAAAACGTGGGACTCGTTGCGTGACGTATACAATCGTTGCAACGATAACGAGCAACAGGCATTTCCCGAGTGCACGAGGCTACCACATGCGAAGCGCGAGCACGTAACCAGTTTTTAACGGTGATAAAACGATCGGATCTGCGGCAAAAAGGCGGACGTTGCAACTGGAGGCCGCGCGCGCCGCGACGTCCGAAATCTCCTTGGCGTAATAGAGCGTGAACGAAGCCTGCGAATGCGACGTTCCCAGCTAATCGCGAAACGCCACTCAAGGGGTTATCGAGATCTGACTTTTTCTTCCGGAACGGTAAACATTTCGACGCGGCGAAGGAGCTTCGATCTTTCGCCGTCTCGTGTTTTTATTTACTTACTACCATTTCTAATCCTTTCTTTCTCTATTACTCTCTCACTCCCTGTTTTTCTCTTTTTTCTTCTTCAGGTCTCGAGAAGCAAGGAGAGGGAGAGAGGTCGATCGTGACGCGAGGATTCACCCCTTGATTGATCCCCACGAACTCGACGAACTTTGACCAAAATAAAACGAAGACTAGCGGGACGTGATCCACGAGAGATACAACGATCGAGAACTTTATACGGGAACTTAATACACGATCTATGGAGGGGAAGAGAGGGGAGAGAGAGAGAGAGAGAGAGAACAGGCCGTCGAACGATATCGCGACGGATATGGGAAACTGGTTACAACTGGAATAGGACGCGTGCTGCGAGCGCACGCCACTGATAAATTAGCGTCTCTTAAGGGAGGCGCGCGCAACTCCGATCCTCGCGAAACGTGTTCTCAATGGACGCGTTCCGGATGACGATCCGTGGAAAAAATACAGATAAAAGAACGGAAACTGAGAAGTAGGGCCGGGGGGGGGGGGGGCCGAGGTAGCTTGCAATTAAGCTGTTCATTTTCTGATAAGGAGATGCAGAACTATAGATAAACGTCGATCTGACTAGCGATCGACGAAACAAATCCGTGCTTAATTTAGATAACGTCTCGCCGCAAACATTAAAATATCTTTGTACATTTTAACGAGAAAACGCGATCAAACTCGTTCACCAACACGTTCCCTCCGTTATCTAAGATAGTAACTAACGTTTGCAAATGTCGGCGGACGTTGGGTGAACGGGTTGATAATTGTAAAAATAATGCAATAAAATTACCTGCACTTCAGTTGGGCGTTTTCTCCGCGACGAATGGAGCCAAGCTCCAAGCTGGAACTGGAGGCATCCGAGTCGCTGTGCGCAGGACTCGGAGGACCTCCGTTCGCCAAGGCATTAGGAGAGACCCCTATACCAGGCAACGCGGCCGACGGGGATGTTCCCAGTTCCTCCTCGACCGGCATCCTTCGCGGCCAAACCGGAAGGTCCAGCGGTGATTGGTGATGCAGGCTGAGGCTCCCGTAGTAGCTGGAGTTGGGGCTGGTCGAATAACCGGAAATCGGGCTGTAAAAACCCGGCACTGCTCCTAGCAGGGTGCCCGGGTAACGAGCGGCGCCGTACGGACCAACGTGGCTTGGCATTCTACCCGGCACGTAAACGATCATCTTTATTTCTCTTACTTCTTTTTTTTTTTTGCTTTATCTCTCTTTTCTCTTTTATTTAAATACGACTCGCCAATTCGACCGAAAGACGTGCAAATGAATACAGCAGCCTGGGTTTCTCGCTGGTTTTAATTAGCCACTTTATACATATATATCTGTATGTATGTTTCTCTACCCAGATGAAATAAAATAGCCTGACGATTCAGACGTGTTCTCCTTGACGAAGGAGGGATTTACGAGCGGATCGAGAGAAGGTTGAAAAGGAACGCATGCGTGTCCTCCACGATAACTCAGTTGTACGAAATGTGTTCTTTTTTCTTATTTTCTATAGATGTGGTTCGGTGTAAATTTCATAGGGTATTATAATTCGTTTATTCCGCTACGATCGTCGTGAACTTTTGAACCCCTTTCGCGATTCTGAAACGCCTTCGAAAAGCTCGTTTTACTAACGAATTTCGAAGGCGGGGCAGCACCTCGATTCCGTGAAACTTTGTCTAGTCGAGGAAACGATCGGTGCATCGATGAATCGCGAACAAGACTTTCCAGGTCTTGCCGTGGTCCTTTGGACCTCCCTTCTTCCTCCCTGTTGTTCTTTCCCTGAGCACCGTAGCAACGACAAGTCGAGCACGGCACAGTACGCTCACATACACAATCTCGCCGTAGCGCGCACCCTTTTATCACACTTAGTCCGAGTCCGTATCGTCAGATGTACTTGAACCGGTTCGACTTGAGTATACGGTAGCTCAGGAATTGCTTGCTGTACTCGATCGAGAACATAACTAGGCTGGTTCGCGACAGATTCATCGAACGCGGGCACAATTTCCTCGTGATGCAGGCCGTCGTCGATATCACCGGTTCTTGTTCCACGCGGCAACACCTCCGATTTAATTCGAGAATCCGATCACAATCCGAACAGACCACCCTCCAAGCTTCCTTGTCACACTGGAATATACTATAGTATATTCGTCGGCTAGACTACCGCTATACTACACTATCTGGCGACGTTCTCAGGATAGATCCTGCAGACGCTAGAACAACGCCACCTCCATCTTTCCGCTTCTCGTATCTCGTCCTTTGATCTCTACGCTACTATATCCTTTCTCTGCGTCTTATCCTCCCAGCTGAGGTCGCTCACGAGCTGTGTGTGACGCGTCGATGATCGGTGGTTACCCCCAGGGACGTGGATGAATCGCGTATCTCGGTGGTCGACTACTGACCAGCCGCGTATCTCCACGAAGGGAATCGGGAGAGCCAGAGATGACGAGGCGTGAGAGTCGGAGGATGATAGGAGGAAGCGAAAACACCGCAACGAACATCGAACTAATGTCAAGAGGAGCCACCAGCGGCCTTATATATAGCGACGGATATCGTCAACTGTTACGTCTCCCGCCCCTCATCGTCGCATCACTAATACACCCAAGTTGATAACGGCCGCTCGTAATCGCCTCGCTCCTCGTCGACGTCTCCTCTGCCACCGCCGCCGCCGCCGCCGCGTGTGGATGCGTCACCGAAGAGTAGACAAGCTGGACAAGCTACGATCTATCGATCTCTTCAAAACTAAAGGACTATGTGTATCGTGCGGAAATGTTGGAAGAAGTTTTTTACGTCAACAGGCGGACACGAGCTCGAGAGTAATTCGTTCGATAAACGACGAAGAACGTTGAAACGTGTAAAACGATCGATCACTAACTGTCGATATCTTATCGCCGTAAAAAGAAACACCTTGGAGCAAAATAGCTTGCGCTACGATACCATCTTTTCGCGCACAAAGGGATAATCGTATTCACGACTTGGCTCTCCCTCGCCTTTCCAAACGCGCGGTATCAACATCCGAATCACCGAGGCAAACAAAAGAAGCTGCAAGCTTTTCCTCGTTATCTCTCGTTCGATCGGCGCGATACGTCACCTGGATTGCTCGAGGCGCCACGTTTCAGCGCCAGTAGCGGCTTCTGAGCCGACCTGTAGCCGTTCCTCGTGGAAAAAGCACGAAGATGGCTCCTGGATCCGGAAGTGGGAGAAAACGAAGGAAGAGAGTAAGAGATCCAGACAGATAGGACGATCAAGGAACCCCCCTGGAGGGCGTCGTGACGCGTCGAATTCGGGATGCCCGAGGCTGCAACGCATTCGACGATCGTTTTTACCGATCCCCCTCTCGCGGATAGACATGGCTGAACGGACGAGAACAAAGTCCCGCGTATCTGCGAGAAGCCAGTATACGTTATCGCAGTCGCATTAGCGTGTTGGCGCGAATGGATGCTCGCGAGCTGAGTCAACAGAGAGGAGGTCTACGCGGTTAATTCCTTCCCGAAGACGATCTTTCAACGAGGAGCACGCGGTCCCACCGTGGGTGGGCCCCTCACGCTCCCGTTTCCAACCGTTCATGGATCAAGGTCCCCGCGATCGTGTCAGGAACCGTGTCTCTCTCGATAACGTCCAGCGATAGATTGAAGCACGGTGATCGTGATTCCATTCGCGATAATCGGTCTGTCGAATTTTAAAAATCCTCGACCACCTTGATTGCGGTACCGGATAGAAAGATCGCGAATAAGATCGCCCCACATGCTTCGGTTTATCGTGAAACGTGCAAAACAAGGTAGATAAATCCGAACTTGTCGTACCTCTGGCTTCATGGTGTACGATAAAAAGGACGAACGATCTATGAGAAAACATGTTTGATGGAGAACGAGCGAGAAATTCCGCGTTAAGAATTCCAACACAAGTACGCCACGATCCCCCTCCACGGAGTGTTAGATAGAGGCGTCGAGGTGTGCCGTCGTGAACGTCTGACGTCGTCGCCTCCCGGGCTATCTTAATGAAGGAAAAATTTCGAATTACGCAATTGGTCTCCCATCACGGATCACCAATCGCTAAAGTTGTCGGATTCGCGGTATCGAATGAATATACGAACGAAGCTAATCAGGTTTGATGAGAATGGTGGTAGCAGCTGCTCGAAAATTGGATCTCTCCGGGTGCATTCGGAACGATCAGTTCGCGCCTGATCCAGCAATTTTGCTTCTGGCTCAACCTTGAATTTATATTCAGACCCTCTGGCATTTGATCATCTGCAGTGCAACCTTGCGTGCGAATCAAACGATCAATGGAACCCATCTTTGATCGTCGATCTCGTGTACTCCAAGTGTACAACAGACCGATATACGTACTATTTCGTCCAACCTCGAGGGTATTCTCTCGGTTTTAACGCGTCGTGAAAAAGAAATAATCTATTTCCGTACAAATTCCACATGAAAATAACGATTAACGATAGTGTGTCAAGGTTACGATTACGAGAATCAACCGCCGCTTTTGCTTTCGTTCGGGCAAACAAGCGTTGCTCAAGGAACGTTCTCTCTTGCCTTTAGAGAGGAAGTCGATGCTTCCTCCAGACGCAACAGATGCGCCCAACCAACTGACTGTACAAACCTGAGGATAAATGGGCCATTCTCTGTGAAATGAAAAATCGAACCAGGACCTTTAAGGCTTTTTGTGCCCCCCCGGCGAGAGAGAGAGAGAGAGTCGACCTTTGATTTTTGAACAAAACCGGGGAAACTCTTGGACGAGATTCATGGGCCCTTGAATGGAAGATGAATGCAACGAGCCGTGAGAAATTTTCCAGAGACAATCTTCCGTCGATTAAACGGGAGAAAGAAAGAGAGAGAGAGAGGGGGGAAGACCGCTTCTCCGTTTTATCAAGTGCATAGAGGTTTGGACTTTCGCATGAAGATATTCTCACTGGTTGGCTTCTCGAAAGGCTTCTCAAGGAGGCTAATTATCGACGCGAGACGATCGACGTTTCGCCGTCGGGGTGCTAATCGAACGGCAATCTAATCTCGCAGGCGAGTCAGAATTCGTTCGACTGGTGCGCGACGGTAAACAAGCCACGACTGAAATCAAGATACACCTGTTGTTACTATCAGTGTCAGTGGTTCTCAAACGATCGATAGAAAGAAAAATTTCTCTTCTTCTCTATCAACCTTCGTTTTTCGCCTTCTCGCAGTAATCTACTCTTTCTTTACGCTTCGTCGAATCGTAGTGTGGTGACAGCGAACAAAACTGCACAGTAATTGTTACGATAACGTCATTTCTCCTGGTTTTTTCCGAAAGCGCATAGATTTTCGTCGGGAGATAATTCGAGAGACGGAGCAGAGGAAGAAGAGGACGTGTTTGCGAATGTGTGTGCGAGAAAGAAAACGATCTGCGTGAGAGACGGCACATTTAACGAACTTAATTCGATAAGATGATCGAGGGGGGCCTCTCTTCTCCGTGTTGACTGTTGCTCGTCAAACAGTCGACCAACGAAATGTTTTTCCCTCGTTATCTGCTCGCGGTATCGTTGATTGATCAGCGGCACTCGACTGGTGTCACGAGTACAATTATTTTTCTCTCTTTCCAAGAATCACACGTTTCTCGGATTCCACGAATTATCCTCGTACGACTTTGGTTAGTGAGGGTTACGCAAGGCGGCCATATTGTGAGCGTGGACGTGCGGGGAAAGACAGTCGGACGAGGAAAAAGATTAAGGAACGATCAAAGAAGCATTAGAGGGTCGGCATAATAAGAGGACGAAGAATGGCGTGGCGACACGGCAGATGCCAGACGGAAGATAGACATTAGAGAAAAAAGGAATCGAGGATTTCCCGGGGAACACGGAGCTATTGTCTCCGGGTCTTAACTCGAAGATGATCAACCTTTGGTTCTGTGCTCCCCCTCGCCAACAGTCGTCTTCCAACGATTGTATCGGAGATACGAGATTTTTCTCGAGTATCTTGGACCGCTCGGACCAACCTTTCCGGCGTGTCGCTTTTCGTTCGAAGGACGCTTGAAAAATTTTCTGAGATCGACTCGAACGTTTTTTGCTTTCGTTAAAATCGAGAAACTGGATCGTACTTGAATTTGTTGGACATTTGCTAGTTGCAGACTACCCCCAGCGGGTTCTCGCGAGGATATTAACGAATACGATACTAACAGCTTTCTCTCCTCCCTTTCTCCAGATGGGTTCCCACCCCCCTGGTCTCGCATGACACCCCACGGACCGAACTGCCGGCGTCGGCGCGCTTTGATCTCGTGGAACGCGGCGAACAGGTAGAAGAGACCGAGAAAAGGAGGGGGATGGATGAAAAGGTTGAAGAAGAGAGACGAACAGAGCCGGAGACGGAGATTCCACGGGGACCAATGAGATCCAGACCCGGCTCTAAACTCGAGAAAATATGTTCCGAGTTTTTAGATTGAGATCCGCCAGAGATAGCCCTTTACTCTTCGTCCTTCTCTCTCTCTCTCTCTCTCTCTCTCTCTCTCTGTCTTCTCTGCTCACCTTCTTCTTGCGTCTTACGTGGTCCGTGGAACGCCGAAAGAGGTTCTTGGCTCCTCCTCCGCCGCCCCGTCCGCATGTCTGATCTTTCATTTAGATTTGATTTCGGTATTCCACCGACCAAGTATCCTCGAGAAGTTTCCAAGAGGCCAGCCGGCAACGAGAGAATCGGTTTCGGTAGCTCCCCGAACGTGGCCCAGTCTTTTATTTATTAATGGACGCTTCGAGAGGAGGCGGCGGCGGCGGCCAAAGCCTCGTGACAAATTATACCTTTCTTCGAGCATTCATTCGATCCTCTTTTAGATCATCGGGTTCGACTGGTCCTCGAGAGATCGATTTTTTCGATTTTTCTTTTGATATTTAGAAAACGAATCGAGTGGGATTAAAGACCGTAGACACGTTGTATTTCGAAGATTGCTTCAGTTCTAACTTAATATACCCCTGGTTTGGTTCGGTAAGGTTAGAAGGAGAGGGAAAGGGTTCATTGTCAATTGGTTCACGGACCTCCAAGCAAGAATTTACACGGCAGCCGTGTGTGTTTGCGGGAGCGTTTCACTGAGCGCATATATAGATCGCGTGGCGCTTTGCGTGTGGCTGCACCGCTAACAGAAATACCCTGTGTGAACAGAGAAGAGGGTGCAGGGCAGGATCGGTACGAAGCCGCGCAGCAGGGGTTGAAATTCCCGCGGTTCGCGCGCGGCACCGCGTCCTCTAACGTAGACGTCCTCGGCGCACATTTTTATTCGATCGCGCTGTTGGGGGCCCGCCGGTCCGTCGTTCTGCTCTTTTTTTCCACCGCCTGCCACACACCGGCGAACGATACCGCGCTCCTCTACGGACCTCGAGTGCCGTGAGAGACGGAAGACCAACTCCTGTCTTTCGCGGCAGAGACCAACGCCGATGAATTCCGTGAAACCCCCGCGGTTACCTTCGATGACCCTCCACGCTACTTCGATCCCCGTTCGATCGATCTTTGCTCCACTACTTTTGCCTATAAGTGCTT